TGAAGCCTCGCTCCTCTGGGAGAACGAGCACAAATGATCACAAGGGAAAAATTCAGTTTGAGAACATATGTCTGAGCAGAGTGGATCCCCTGGCTGACAGCTGCTGCCCTCAGCCTTGCTGCTTCACCCTTATTTTTATTTAAATTCCCTATTTTGCACCTGTAAGAAGCTGTGCAGGGCAGATCTTGAGAGTGAATTTTCCATTCAATGTCCTTGTTTAATATAATCAAACACACCTTTAAGCAAAGGGAAAAGGTAATTAACTGGAAGAGGCAATGCTGCTCTAAAGGGCTTTGTGATAAGACTCTAACAACAAACAGCTTTATCTTCTAGCAGGGAGAAAACCATCCTCATATCAAAGTATCTTCACTAATTTATTAAAAGATATGCAAAATAAACAAGCTCCAAGTTTTGGACAATTCCCTGGGTAGTTCTGTTAAAGCAAAACTTCCCACAGATTTCACACTGGAAAAAAATGGATTTTGAAAGTACAGCTAAAGCTTGCAAATCACATCAGAACTGTTCTCTTCAGGAGGTCCTCCTAAATCACAAAGGGTATTTTATTCACAAATACTGGAATATGCCAAGGTAGCAAGGTTACTTATTTTGTAGGAGGATTTATGGAGCTGAGAGTAATTTGGTGCATGAAGAAGCTCCAGGAAAATGTACTTCTGCATGTACTTCTTACCTGTGTAGGAAAAATCCTGTTAGATTCTATATTTTAGAAGTTCTAGACCTCCCCAGCAAAGGTCAAGAGACTGGGTTTAATGCAAAATTAGGCAGACGATACTCCTTTACAAATGTTCATGAGGCACACCAAAAAATTACAGGATTTGGAATGAAATTTTTGCTTTGTTAAGGGCACTAGCACATGGTGTTCTAAAATAATGACAGAAATAGTTGTAGCCATATTGCTTATCCCAGAAATCCAACGCTTCTAGGGAGAATGCCAAATGCCAGGCGGATTTCTCAGTTGTTGCAAAGTCTTAGGAAATTACTGATCATCTTCTGGTGGGGGAAACACTGATCCAGCCAAGGGCTCAGCACCCTTAGGTGCTGAGCAACCAGACAGGTTTTTAAGGCTGAAAGCAGCCTAAAGAATAGGAAGAAAAAGGAAGGAATAAAATCATGCACATCTTACACAGCCCATATCTGCTTAAACCCAAAAGTAGAATTTAAAGTTGAACGAGAGAAATGTAATTTTTTCTGAAAAATCTGTTCGGTGACTGAAAAAACAAAACCAAACCAGTCAAATTTAATGAGGGAAAAATTAAACTCTGGTCAAGATCCAGGTGGAGGCTGTACATCACATTATTATAGGCTCCCATATGTTTCCTAGAGGCATTGAACATGACAAGGGAATTTAGACTCACAGAAATGTAATTATTTGTGATTGAAACAAAATAGCAGCCAGTTTATGCACACACTGCTCCTGTTGCCTTAATATTATTGTACTGAATTGAATTGTTTTCAGATGCTGTTGTATTTTCAGAGGTAGACATAGTTTTTTTCATATTCTGTTTCACATGTTACTTTTTTTAGCCATCAGAACTTAGTGACATAAAAATTGCTGTCTGAGTTGACACAGTTATTCCCTCTTGATGTCTTTAAGTAGGAGCATAATGTGACAGATGAGAGTGCTGAAACTCAGCAACTCACACAGGCTTAAAAATAAGTAATTCCTGCAAAACTTTGAAAACTGTTCTACCGGGGAACAATTTTTGTACTCTGAAATTTATTTGCTCTTCTTTCTCCCCTCATTTTTTAATGTCTAGAAACATGTATGAAAACAGGGATTTAGTTGTTCAGGAGCTCGTTTCCTCCTGCTGTGCAGCCATCACAGGAAATCACAAGCCTTTCTCTCAGCAGCAGCTGAAGACAAGGCAGCAGCACAGATCAAATAAACACTGAAAGATTAATCCGGGCTGAGATTTAGGGCTGGGTTTAACTGGAAGAACATGAGGACCTGTGTTTGAGATTGGCAAAGTCCTGTGGACAGGTAATTTTGGCTCAAAACGAGGAAGTTAGTGCGCAGCCTGGGCTGTGTGAAGGCAGGTCCAGCACAGGCAGGACACAGGTACAGCAGTGACAGCAGGCAGAAGGAATATTTCTGGGATTCCTCTAGTCTTGATGCAGAGAACTCATTCCTGCAAGATCTCTGGTCACTCTAGAGCTCTCAGAGAAAGCTGTTCCAGAGAACTTCAGCAACATCTAAGCCAGACTGGAGTCACAGAATCCTTTCCATTCCAAGAGGTCAGACTGAAACTCACTGGAAAAGAGGAATCTTACCCAGGCATCCATACCCAGGATTCACACAACCAAACTTCCCAAGGCTTCACACGTGAGGTTCTGGGTTTAACTTATTTCAAATGTTTATTTAATGTTAGATTACCTGCTTGAGGTATTAATTACATCAAGCCCAAAACAATGGTACGAGCCAGCTCTTTGTGTACGAACAGGTACAGAAAGTTCAATTTCAGAAAATTGCATCTTTCCCTTCCTGCTTTTTATTATTTGGATAATTTGCATTAAAATAATGTCTCTGCTTGTGAGTGTTTGCCCCCACTGCTTTATTATTCACTCAGAACACTCACTCCTTGCACATGACGTGATTGTTATTTACTGCTGAAATACTTTTAATGTCACTAAATGGATTAAATCTTCAAGTGAGGAGTGAGCAATTGGAAAGCCCTATCACCTAAGCAACAGCACTCCTATTTCATGCCTGTGTGTCTAATTATACCTAACAAGGCAAAAACCCCTTATCTCCAAAGGAGTAATACGCTCCCTTTCTTCCCAAACATTTTTATTTTTTTTTTACATCTTAAATGATGGGCAAAGCTGATAGGGTTGGCATTTTGTAACCAAGCCAAGCAGTTATTTGTTAAGCATCAGTGCCAGGTTGGTATCTGATATAAATTATCAATATTGATCAAAAACGATCGATTTTACATAAAACAATCCTGTTTTAACAAGGAGAAGTGGTCAGGGGGGTTGCAGTGCTTGGACATCCTTCCACCGTGGCAGCTCCTTGGGCCAGACAAGGACAGGCCATGAGGGTAAATACTGAGCTGGCCAAGAGTTCACAAACCAAGAGGGTAACTGAAATAAATGGGGCAGGAGATCTTTCTCCTTTTAAATGCCTTTATTAAAAAAAATCAGCTCAGGTAGGGAGAAATCGACGGGTCGCACCCATGCCTCCAGTGCTCCCAGGAGTGGCACGGAGGAGGAGGAGGAGGAGGAGGATGATGCAGCTGTGTCTGCTGGTCTGCAGGCAGAGCTGGGGATTCCGTCCCTACGGGAGAGTAGAAAATTCTGCTTTTTTGGTCTAACGTTTCAGGTCCTCTTTCTAGTTAAGACCTTTTATGTTAGGGTGAGAAGTAAAAGGATCTTAGCAGATACTGGATTAAGTTCCTCATCTTTAGACGTCATTAGGTCTCTTAATTCCATGTTGGCTCGTTGTTTTTAGGTTTGTTTTTTTTTTTTTTTTTTTTTTCCTGGAACGTTACAAAATCTGGTGAAATGCATTCTCATCTGCATACTGGCTCTGAGGTCACTCCGCCCCTGCTGCCTGCGGGGTCCGGTGTCACCCCTGGCAAGCATCAAGGGGGCCAATGGCTAATCACCAACCATTAACAGGTAATTGAAGAAGAACTCTTAACAATAGGTGGCTGCAACATGCAGTAACCTTCAATTTAACAGCAATTGGTTCAACTTTTTTAACTTTGCAACCTTAAAAATCTGGTAACTTTTTTATTCACAACAGTAAGCACTGGGGTGCGGAGGCTTCCTGGGCAGCAGGGCTGACCCCCAGTGCCGCCAGCCCAGTGCCAGGGGTCCCAAAATGCAGAGAAGAGCCCTGCGGAGCCCATGGCATGGCAGCGCTCTGCTGCCTCCGCGAGTGGCCGGAGAGACCCTGAACAGGACCGCGGTGCGCAGGGCTCTTCCCGAGCCCCGCAAGGCTCTTCCCGAGGCCCGCAAGCCTTCCCGCAGAGGCTCCCCAAGCTCTTCCCAGTGCTCCACATCGCCGTTCCCAGAAGTCCCCGAGCCTGCCCCCGGGCCGTGCCGCGGCCTCGCCCGTCCCTCAGGGCCGGCTGCCGGTGCTCAGCCCCCGCCTCCGGCGCTGCGAGCGCGGGCGGCCCCGTCCGGAGGAGCCCCCCCGAACCTGCGGGGCCCCGCCGAGGCTCCCCCGCCCCAGGCNCCCCTGCAGCCGGGCCGGGCCCGCGGGGCCGCGGCGGGGCCTGTGGGAGGGAGCGCGGGCCCGGCCGGGCCCCTGAGCCGCGGTGTGAGCGGCTGCCCTGCCCTCCACAGCATCACGGAGCGGGTCCCGGCCGAGGGAGGGTCACTGCAGAGCACATGGCGCGGGGTTGTCCCGGCCGTTCTGGAATATCTCCAGTGAGGGAGGCGCCGCATCTCTCTGGGCAGTGTTCTCCAGTGCTCGCAGTAAAGTTCTTCCTCGTGTTCAGGTGGAGCTTCCTGTGCATCAGTATTTGCCCATTGCTTTATGTCCTATTGCTCTTGGCACTCCCCTTTAGACATTCATAAACATTGTTTAGGTCCCCTCTTCGATATCTCATCTGGAGACTGGACAGGCCCAGCTCCCTCTGCTTTTCATTGTCAGAGGGATGCTCCAGTTCCTCCTCTGTTGCCCTCAGTGGACCCACACCTGGAGCTCTGTGTCTCTCTTGTACTCAGGAGCCCAGAACTGGACACAGCACTCCCTATACATCCCTCGGGATGTTTCTCACACAGCCCCTCTAAAAGCTCTGGCTGTGTTAGAATTACCCACAGGGGCACCCTCAGCTCTCTATAGAATAGCACTTGCAGCGTAGGGTGAAAGATCAGCCTGCCCAGCTGCCAGCTGTCTCTCCTGTAATGTATGGATTCCCTGTAAGAACGTGACTTTTTAAATTCATAAGTAAATAAATAAATGTATTTGTATCTCTAAGTATCATAAATAAAACTGTTGGCAGTGTTAATTGGACTGGGTTCTTCCCCCAGGTGTGAATCGCCATTTCCACATGATTTGTATCCGGGATAAATTCAGCCAGAATATCGGACGGCAGATCTCATCCAAAGTGATCTGGGACCACCTCAGCACCATGTATGATATGCAGGCTCTTGTGAGTATAAAGGCTTGACGCTGCCACATGGTTTCATGGAGTTTTTCCAGGCCAAAATCACTGGGCGTGTTGTGCTTTTCATGGTACTTAGAATTAGGTGTCATTCCAGTGAGTTGATGGGGTTTTCCCTGAATAAAATTAATGTAGGTAGGAGACCATAAAACCTTGAGTGGTTTTTGGGTTGGGTTTTTTTTTTTTTTGATAGTGTTCTGACTTTGTTAAAGTTGCCTAATGACTGATCCAGAAAATGTTTATATACATATATGTGTCAAATGAGAAAGTCACCATTGTTTACATAAGAATTTGCTATGTTTGGGTTCCAAAAATGATCTCAAATGATCATGAATTGTGATCTCAGATATCCTGACCTCAGTAATCAGTTTGATAGCAGAAGCCTCCTGATTCTCTAACTTCTGAGGTGTCTTGTTAAAAATTATTTAGCTCCTAATTGCATGTAAAATAGAATTTGAGATTGCATGTCAAAATTCAAATTAAAGTCTTTACAAGTCACTCACAGAGATCCTTCTTTTCTTTCTAAGCATGAATCTGAGATTCTTCCATTCCCTAATATAGAGAAGAATTTTGCTCTTCCTGATGAAATGATTCAAGAAGTCAGAGAAGGTGAGATGTGATTGCAGTCTCTGATTGTTGGTTGCTTTAATTAATCTCATCTCAGAATCTTTAACAAAACTCCCCCCAGAAAGCATGTATTGTCAAATCTAATAGAAATGTGCAGGAGTTTGACAGAAATCTCAGGTTGAGCAGTGAGAGCTGGAATTTGAAATTTAGCTGATGTGTGTTGTCCAAAGTAGGAACTAGAAAATTCAAGCACCTGCCAAAGGACTTCTTGGGATATTTTAAACTTCAGTGGAATGCTTCTCAATTACTAGAATTATTTTACACTAAAAATTCAGTGTGAAATCTTAGTATAAATAAGACATTGCAATATGTTTTGCCTGTTCAGCATTTCACTTTCTCATGTTAATAATAATTTATTGGCATTGAATTACTGCTGAATGTTGCATGGAATATTTTCAAACATGCAAATGTGCAGAGGCTACTAATCCATAAAAAATCCATGTGGTTCTTTAAAACCATCTAACCATTGCCAATGATGCTTTCTGTAGGAAAAGTAATGATGGAAGAAGAAGTGAAAGAGGAAATTTTAAAAGAAGAGATGGAAACACATGCAGGTCCTGAAGAAGGTAATTTTGTAACTCTCTACTGTGTAATACGAGATTAAAAACCAACTGTAATTGAGAAATTAATGTTAAATTGTAAATCCAAATGCAGTGTACTTTGTGATTTGTACTCAGACTTAGCCTGTGCTCGTGCTAAGAATTTGAATAATTTAAGAATGCACAGAGTAAGCAGCTGCTTATTAAAAAGATTTCTTCTTTGCTCCTAATTCATCTGTACAAAGTTGTATAGCTTTGGAGATTTTTTGGCTTTAATATGTACTTGACAAACCCCTGGGATTCTGAAGGAATCTGAGGATCTCTGGAAGAAAGCTGGGTCTGATTTTTTTGAACTGGAATGCTCTGTGTTGGGAACTTTGTAGCCATGGGGGAAATAGGGCCTGTAAATCAAAAGGGATTGTAAAATTGCGTGCTGAAATGGGAAGGGGGGCAGAGTGCTTATTTTATTTTATTCTCATTATCTTGCTGCTTTTAAATAAAAGGCTTGTTTTCCTAACACTTTGCTGTAGAACAAGTCAAATGTGAACAGTAGAGATCCTGCTATTTATCTTAATAGACCAAGCCAACTGCTGACTATATAATTTCATCATATTTATATCACTGAATAAGTGGTGTTTAAAGACTGTAATAAAAGTTCTAAAATGTATTTTAAAATATATTAAATTTTTGGGTGTTCAGTTTTAAAATTATCTATGGTACCAAATGTAATGACTGCTGCTGACTATAAATTCCATAGATCGGTCCTATGTTTCTGTAAGTGTTCCTTTTAATTATTTTAATACTAAGCGCTGTTTAATTCCACTTAATGAGTTTGATTTTTAGCCTGTCAAAATATATGCCTGTCTTTAAAGCAAATAATAAAAGCAAGATGTGCCTTTCTCAGAGATTTTTCCTTAAGACTTAAATGATGGACAAATATGCTGAGAGTCGATTGTTTTGAGAAGTTTTATGGAATATAAAGAAGTTTGATATCACTCTTGTTTGCCTATGTGTATGACTCTGATCTGGAATCATTACTTTGGTCCTGTTTCAGTTTTTGCACCCTCTGGAAGTTTAGGAAAAACAACAGAAAAGCCAAGCAGCAAAGAGAAAGAGAAAACTTCATCAGATCCTGGATCCAAGGAAGGGTCTGATAAGAGGAAGCGCAACAGGGTCACCGAGAAGGTTCTAAATGCCAACAGCAACCCCTCGAGCCCCAGCGCCGCCAAACGCCGCAGGACGTAGAGCTGAGGAGCAGTGAAAAACTCTGGGATGGGAGGAGGGAGCAGGAAAAACAAGGAGCAGCACATGAACTTGCAGAGGAAGTAGAAGAGCCAGTATTTGAGGAATCCGCGCACTGGCTTTGTCTCTCCTGGGGGTTTGAGGAGCCACCTTCCCGGGGTGTGGGACAAAGCTGGCAGTGGGGAGGGTGGGTGTGACAGTGCCAGGGCTGCATTTCAAACCAGCAACACTCTGTGTCAGCACAGCTCGTGGAAAGAGTGCCCCATGGGGCACATGGACCCCCAAAAGCAGAAGGTGATTTCTGTGAATGTGGGACTGCTTTTTCTGCCGTTGCTGTCTGTGACTTTACAGACCATCTGTGGGTAATGTTTGGCCATTTCCCTTCCATTTGTATCAAATGTCTCAATTTGTTGGTTCAGTAAAACTAAAATTATTTTAAATGCAGATGACCACTGCATTTGAAGTGTTCTGTTGCTCTCTTTGCTGGAGGAACCTCATTTCACCCTTTTTGATGTAACATTTTTCAACCGTAAGCAAAGCTAAAATTATAACACCCCTAGCCCAAATAATTAATAAGTGTCCTAAATAAAATATCTGGTGATGACACATGGTTTTATAAGGGATCAGCCGAGCTGTGCCTGAACATGGAGGTGTTGCTTCATCCATTTGTAATACAGTAGTGTATGACAGTGGGGTTTGTACTTAATTATTTATTTTTTTAAAGCAGTTTTAGTAGATGTGAATGGAATTGGTTTTCCAAAATGTTCATTTTGTTCTACAACTGAAGAATCTTGCTGACATTGTAATGCTTATCTTTTATATGCTAGAACTTTGAGATTTGATGAAGTTACTATTTTTGTGTTGTCAAAAGAGTGATTGCAGTCAACGCACACCTGGTAAATGGTGAATGAAGCAGGCTGAAATGGTACTGAATTTGTTTCATTATATTAACTACCAGTTAATAAAAAGAAGAATTACTTCTTGATCTCTCAGTATTGCCTTCAAGGTGAGGCACTAGGAGTCTTCTCCTTTTTTTGTTTTATTCTAGGTACATAGCCAAGTTCTTGTCTGCCTAGTTTGCTTCTCTTGTTTTATACAAAGAATAAATTTGACTTGTTTTTATTTTACTAAATGGCAGTTGTTGTGTGACTTGATTAAAATCTGGCTCAACTTATTTTAGAAGTGATTTACCATTAAAGTGTTGATTACTGTGTCACGATCCACATAGATTTTGGCCATAAAGTGCAGATTTTGGAACTCAAGTCTCATGTTCCTGTGGGCAAACCCTTCTCATCCATGGCATTCGAAGCAGAAAGTTTTGCTCTACCAATGAAATGTTTATATAGGTTGAAGTAGAAATATATTGACAATGGTGAGTACTGGTGCAACCACTCAGCACCAGCCTCACAGCAAGGAAAGTCCACTTGGGGATTTCACGGTCGATCCAGCAACACTGATTTTTTAGGAATTGTTTCGATGCGAAGTTGAGTATGGGCAAATGTAAACACTTTGCTTGTTGCCCCCATTCGCTTTCAGAGTGCTCTTTGGGAATGCCTGTTACTGTCCCAGCCTGGCATTCCCGTTCTTTGATCCCCGTTCCTGTCCCAGCCTGGCATTCCCGTTCTTTGATCCCCGTTCCTGTCCCAGGCTGGCATTCCCGTTCTTTGATCCCCGTTCCCGTCCCAGGCTGGCATTCCCGTTCTTTGATCCCCGTTCCTCCCCGGGACCGCGGGCGGTGCCGGATCCCCCGGGCGCGGTGCGGGCGGGCGCAGAGCCCGCGCGGGCGGCGGCCAATGGGGCGCGGCGGCGCAGGAAGGGGGCGGGGCGTGCCCGCGCTTCCGTCCCCCCGGTCCCCCCCACACGTGCCCGGGCTTTGTGCGCGCGGGCGGGCGCTCCCGCCGCCACATCCCGGTCCCTTTCGCTTTCCTTTTCTCCTCGCCTTCCCATGGCGGCCTGGTTCACGCCTAGGGCGGAGGAGGACGAGGCGGAGGACGAGGCGGACCTCTGGAAGTACGACTCCACCTGGGAGGGGGAGGAGGAGGAGGAGGAGGAGGACGGCGAGGAGGAGGATGGCGGCGGCGGCGAGGCGGAGGATGGCGGGGAGCCTGCGGGGCAGGGCCGGGCGTGGGGCTGGCGGCTCAGCCAGGTGCGTGTGGGGGCACGGAGCGGAGCCTGCGGGGCGGGACGGCCTGAGGGGACCCCTGGCAGCCCTTCCAGCCCCTTGCCGGCCCTTCCTTCCCCGCTCCCCGGGCACAGCCGCGGCTCGCTCGGTGCCGGCGGGGGATCCGCGGCCCTGGGGGAATTTCTCCTCATCTTGAGGAAGCAAATCCCCCTGGAGGAGGGGGATTGCAGGGATGCTCTCACTTGCTGACTCCTCAAGACCCGTTACATAGCCGTGCGGTGGGCAGTGTAATTTTAATTTGGTTTTGAATTTGTTTTTCCCCACTATTCCCTGTGATGTGGGTACTTTATCCCATAAATAAATACAGGTGTGTGGCACCTGTTCGCCGCTGCTGATGGCCACTGGGTTTGACATTATGGCATCGATGTTGCTTTAAGTTTTTGGTTGGTGTCCTCAGCTTTGTATGGCGGCCTTGCCATGCCATCAATAAAAATCCATTACATAACATCTGCTCAGTTTTAAAAATGAGCTGTAACTCTGTTTTGAGCTGTAGACATGTTTTATTTCTCAGGGAGTGTGCAACTTTGACAACCAAAAAATTGTGTGCTTTAAAAACTACAGGTACGTGTGCAGTTTTGAGCAAGCTGCAAAACGCAAGCACTTGTGTCTGGTGCCTTAAAATAATATTTATTTGAAATAAAATGAATTTCTTAGACTTATCTGAGGTTTCTGTTATAGCATCAGTGGATATCGGTTTGACATTGGGCGTCAGTAATTTATTCTCCAGCTTTGCTTCGGTAGATAGAACTTTATCCTTTTCAGTACTTCCTATGCCAAGCAAAACACACTCCAGTGCTTTAACTCCTCCCCTTTCTGGGAAAGGGAAACCACTGCTTCACTTTGAGTTTCATTTCTGCACCTCATCCTTATCTTTAGAATACAAACAGGCAGATAAAGCTTTCTCATGAATATACTTTAAAAGAGCTTGATGTTAAACTCCCTTTTTTTCCTTAATGAGCATTAAAATAGAAATAACCACTTTTGAAGGAACAGTAAATTATCTGTGGAAGTAGATCTGGGAAAGGCCAAATGTATTTTGGGTGGAATAGCTATAATTCTGAAGAGAGGAGGCAAAGATTTCATTTGAAGTTTTTTGCACTGTTGGAGTGCACCTTATCAACTTTTCTTTTGTACGTGGCTGGACTTCACAAGCTTTAATAACTCCAGAACATTCCCATTATTCTCTTTGAATGTGTTTGTTCTTCAGGTTCTTTTTTTTTCCTTAGAGCAACTCTGGATGGTGCCAACTGTAAAAGCAAGGATCATTTTTTCACTCCAGTGAGTGGACTTCTCCAGCTTTGCCTTACAAAGGAGGAGGTTGTTGTCTCTGAGATAGCCCTGGAATATTATTCTGCATTTTTAAATAGGAGCTCTTCCTTCAGTGATGAATGTGTAGTCACCTCTCTGGCAGTGCCCAAAATATTGTAAGGGCACTGAGAGTGAATGCACAAAGAAGCAGTAAATCTTCTGCTAGCCATTTATGCCTTTGCAGCCTGTCAAAGGCATGGATCAATTTCCCAAACTTGTTCTTACTTCTGCTTATTTTACACTAATTCTCATTCTTCTCCCCTCAGCCTGGATGGTTTTCTTTTTGCCTGAAGCAGATAATGTCTTTCTTTGGTATTGAGGTTAGAGTTTTTTATTGTTATTTTCACTATGCGCTTTCAAAACAAACTTAAAATTCTGCTTCTGGCTTTGCATTTCACTTGTGTCTCTCTGAGTGTTCACAGCCTGAAGTTCCTCAGGTGTATCTTTCCAGCTCTTACATTTCAGTGCCTTCAGCTTCTATGGGTGAGCTTTGAAAACTTTGGGGGTTGTGTTCGTTTTAAGAAGTTCCCTCTCAGACTGCTGTACCACCTGGAGTTCATGATCAGCTGTTTTAATAACAAACCCCATGGTCCTAAATCTGCATCAACAAAAGGTTTCAATCATTCTTCTGGGCTCTTACCTTTCTTGTTCCTGTGCTTTGTTCACAATTCACATCCTCTTTTGTTCCAGCTGGTTTCTCAGCCAGATCCTCTTTCTGTCCCACTCCTGGTTATGTTCTCAGCTTCCCTTGCCTTTCCCACAGCAATGCACCTTCTGCCTGGTGTGATGCAGGTTTGGAGCATGAAACCCACTCAGTTTTACTGTGAGACAAAAAGGTGTTGGATTTCTACAGAGAGGTTTCAGCCTTGCTGTTTAATTTGTGTTTCTTACCTGGAAAGGAAAACCTAAAGTTGAAAGTTTGTAGAGACCCAGGAACAACACCTGCTTGGAGGAGCAAAGCTGAGTTTTGCTCTCTTTGCTTCCCCATCTTGTTCTCTGGATTGCTGTGCTCCAGGCTGCCTTTTCCCTGGATCTGGCTTCTTTCTGGACAAGACTTTTACAGCCTCTTACACCATGGCATTGCATCTGTCTCTGTTTCTGCAATGACTCTTCAGCAAACCATTTATCTTTCTAAGTGGGACCCAGTCTGCTGTTCTCCTCTCCCACCTGACTGTGTTCAAGGATGTTACTTTAGAACCTTAAATGTATAGAATTTCTGGGATTATTTGGTAATTGGGAACAAAATTGTCATTAATGCCACATGGCTGTCATCAGGGCAGCTGAATGGGTGGCTTTGTTACAGCAAGGTGTTAAAAAGGGAGACCCATTCCTGCCTTAATGATTAATGAACCAGTGACCAGTGTTTGTTAGAAAGTGGTTTTATTTTTCTCTGTTGTGTGATGTTAAATACCAAATGATGTTATGAAGTAACTTGGGGGAGGTTTTGCTGCTTCTTTCTTCTAAATTTCATTTAATGCTTGTTTTGCAAGACTCTGCACATCTTACCCCCATTTCCCAACTTCCCTGTTCTCTGTGAGCTGGCATTGAACCCTCTGGCTGTGCTGTGCTTTGGGTGCCCTCTGTTCCTGAGCAGCCTTGTTCCTTTTGGTGGTTCTCAGTTCACAGAACGCTGTAAAATCCTGTCATGGTTTGGGATAAGATGGTTCAGCACTCAGCAAGATTAAACCTATCTGTGTTGCTTGTGAAATGTAACAAAATCCCTTATCACTGAGGTAATCAAATGTATAAATAAATATATATATTTCAGTTAAAATGCACTTTAAACTAAGGCATACTTGCAACTTCTATTTCCATGAAGTAGTCCAGAGGGGGAAATAAAGCTGTTCTTTGAGTTCTGTCTAAATGTCACACTTGGAATGAATCTGGCACATCTGTGATGAGAACCTGGTGCCTATTCATGTGACACCACAGGTTTTTCTCTGTAGCAATTTGAATTATGCATAAAATACAGTAAATTCAGCTGTAACTAGGTAAATCTGTCACTTGGCAACTAATAGGGATCCTGTGAGTCACTGCTGTGGGTATTCTAGTTTTGCATCTATTTTTTTTTGTTTTCTTAGTGAAGTTTGGTTTCAAAATGTTCCAACTAAATGCTTTTTATTTGCAGGATCAAAGCTCAAATTCCTCACTGCTGTCTTGGAGGGGTTTTCAGGTAGGCTTGACATAAAATTTGGTTACGTGGAAAGATGGTTAATAATGAAGAGTATGATTGGAAGAGAAGTCCAAAAAATAAATATCTAATGTGACCATGTGGCTCTGGTGCTGTCCACTGTCTAAAGCAGCAAGCCTGATCTTGAGCATAAAGCAAAGATGAAGAAAACTTATTTAGCAAGGTCTGCAGGGAATGAGAATCTTGAATTCAAGGTATATTTCTGCATCCTAAATTCTACCATTTTAAGGTCTAGCCTCTGTCTTCACTAGGGTTTTTAGCAGCTCAGAGACATATCTTGATTTAAAACCTTTGAGTTAGGGAAGAACAATCACATTTTCATATTTGGGATCTCCAGCTTGGTCTGATCTTTTCCATTGGCAAACCCAAGTGGGATAAAACATATAGATAAAACATAAAAACCTTGATTAATAAGATGAGAAGGGAAAAGTAGTATTTTGGTGACAGGAG